CAGATACTGACTAGCATTCGATTACTTTTCAAACGGTTTATTTTCACTGAGGATTGAATTGCAAAGGTTGTGATCTTAAAAAGGTCATATGATGTTGCTAAAAAGAACATTATTTTGTGTAATGAAATGTTTATGCAGTTTAAGGTAAAAAAAAACCACATTATTTTCCACATACTGTACATTGTTTCTCCTCTATACCCCGCCTTTCTGAAACGCGTCGATTTTTACAAAGCACATCGGTCTGAAAAACTAAGTGTATGCTGATTGGCCAGCTATCCAGTGTGTTGTGATTGGCTGAATACCTCAAGTGTGTGACGGAAATGTTACGCCCCTTACCATACTGTGATGCTGTGTCCCGGCCGGAGCGACGAGACAAAAACATTAAAACCCATTATAAACAAGGCATTTGTTGCATCCAGTGGGGACATAATTACGGATTATAATGACTTATACTGTCTTTTTACGCGTTGCGTTGGATCGCGCCGCGCAAACATAAAACCATGTCTGCATTTGTGATCGGAGAAATGACAAACAACAACCGCTACTCTACACTGCTCAAAACTCGCGTTTGAGTCGTCAGTGGCAAATCCTTTAAATGTGAAAACATACTTACAGACTGTGAGTCAGAACAGCCGGCATTGTAGTCTACTCTCCCAGGAAACAGTCCTCCATAAAATGCGCTGCACACATCTGAATATTTTGGTTGAACTCTTCTGGAACAGTGTTGTAAATACAACTTAACCACTGATTTCTAGTCATGTCCTCTTTTGAAAAACCAAACAAAGCAACGAAACATGCAGCGTCACGCACGGCGGGCTTGAGTGAGCGGAGGCCGGCGGGCTAGAATGGGTTTGAGTGAGGAACGGCCGCGGGCTTGCGGCAACCACATGTGACGACCCCGGTTTGGACTCCGCTTCGTCCACGGTGAAAGCCGATCCGGTGATCCACAGCGCGAAGTTGATGTATTTCCTCAGCGACCAGCACGGATCAGCTCTAGGCATGACGAAGCGGATATCGTCCTCTTTTGGAAGGCCAAACAAAGTAGTTTCGCTTCCACAACCAAACACACAGCATCTCCACGACATGGTGGCGGCGGCAACAACAACAAAAATACTACAGCGAGAATAAAAGTTACGCCTTCTTTCTTTGCGTGAACATTTGGGCGGTGTTATGCAAATCTTCCCACATTGTGACGTAGACATGTGGGGGCGTGTTAGAATGAGCCGTTTTAGGTAGGCGTGGTTGACTCTTAACTTTTATAAAGAATATCTCTTTGGATTTGAGACTTTAGTCTTTGCAACTTTACAGATCTTCTTTATGCACCAAGAGCTTGTAACACTCCAAAGAGAAAGGAAAAATTTTAATCGCGTCATATGACCCCTTTAATTAAATATATGCACAGCATCAGTAGTAAATGCTGCTTCCCTCTGCAAGAGCTGTGAGTTTGAGTCTCTTATAATGTGAAAATGTTCACCATGGCGATAATGCACTCTAAAGCAGCTCTTCTTCTTTGTCTTTTCCAGCGCAGCTCAACTAGGCCTCACCAGTGGATGGAGATTATTTAAATGAGTGACACTGTGACTTCACAATATCCGTGTGCTGTAGAAGCATACTGTAGTCCAAACAAGCCATTTGTTGTAGTTATTGAAATTATTTTAATAACTGAAATTATATTGAAATGATACTTTGTAACCTTGCAGATTTTTTTTAATGCTTAAACAGCAACATTACTAACTAAAGTTGATAAAGTGAAAAAGCATAATAGGATCATTTTAAAACCATTAAATATTTATCATATTCAATAGTTGTTTTTCAATAGTCAACACTATAGTAGTCAAGTTATATTCAATAGTCGTCAATTTGTTTGTGGCCGGCCAACGTAGAACATAGGTGGACATTATGCGAATGTGTTGCCCAGTGAAGTGGGATTCAAATTACTGATTACTCGTTTAGATTCTTTCGATAGGTCGATTCTTTTGGAAGACAATAACTTTAAACAGGTGAGTCTGCATCCTGTCTAGTCCTAGTACAAGAAAATCATAAATATTTTTAGAACAAGATGCCCAGTTAGAATATGATGTATTATGTGTATGGTTTATTCAGACTGCAAAGGTTAAATATAAATTAAAATGATTGTGAAGGGCGAGGAGAATTTATATATGCATCAGGTGTTTTGGTGCGAAACACTACCTCATAGGATCCACCTGTGTAATCCTCCCTTATAGCTCCCTCAAGCTTCCTCAGTTTTCGTTTCTCACAGTGCAGTTACAGAAATTAGATGTCCTTCAAGATGGTTAACTTTGATATCCTGGTCACAGGCTGGAGGATGAAGGAGCGAGGAAATGAGGAAGCATCAATTTGAGTATTGAGAAGCACTCCTAGTTTAAAACGCTTGAAGGTTTTAAGTTTGACACAGTTTAAAGGGTTAGTTCACCCAAAAATGAAAATTAGCCCATAAATTACTCACCCTCAAGTCATCCTAGGTGTATATGACTTTCTTCTTTCAGACGAATCCAGTCTGTTATAATTTGGACATTTTCACTTAGGGGTGGCCAGTGTTGTGGCCAGTGGTTTAGACATTAATGGCTGTGTGTTGAGTTATTTTGAGGGGACAGTAAATTTACCCTGTTATACAAGCTGTACACTCACTACATTACATTGTAACAAAGTGTCATTTCTTCAGTGTTGTCACATGAAAAGATACAATAAACTATTTACAAAAATGTGAGGGGTGTACTCACTTCTGTGAGATACTGTATATATCCATATGATGTTGTTACGTGCTTGACGTTAAAGAGGGATGGCCGTAACATTTAAGTGAGACAAGTATTACTGGGTGTGGAACAGACCAAAGATGACAACTGAAAAGTAATTTTAGAAGTCTTTACTGGACGCGTTGTGAAAAGGTACAGATAAATATGAAATTTAGCACATAAAGAAATAAAACCAGGAGTGTCACCCAAATCAAAGAAATAAACTAACTAACAAAAAAAATAAATATGAAAATATAACCGAAATCTTCGGTATGTACGACGCCCGAACTAAACTAAAAAACAAAAGTACAAGGGTGGCGTAACACTCACAAACCTAATATAACAAAGTACAAACTAATCTAACAAACAAAACAAACAAGATCGTAACAACGATTGACTAGACATTTGAATCCTCACCGAGAGACGAGTTTAAGTAGCTCGATGCACTGGAATGCATTCTTAACTTTGAACTCGACACGTGGTAAGACTAAAACTCTTATCACGGACATCAGCTTAATCTTTCACATAGAAGACAATGCAGGTCAATAGCCAAAGAACGAAACTGTGAATAGATTAAATCACACAACATAAAGCATGACTCCATATAAGACAAGATGCATTAAGCATCAGGAGACTGAAACTAATCGAACACGAGACAGCTGACCGCGTTGGAGCACAAGGTATGCTGGTGTGGCGCACACACACACAATCAACTCGAGGCATCCATTACAGCTGGCACGTCAGCGGATTGGCAGAACATCATGATGTCAGAATGATGGTTGACAGTCCAGTCAGCCAATAAACACCGACCTAGAAGCAGAGTAAAAAATAACAAGAAAAAGACAGGAGAGCAAGGAAAAGACAATATCACAAAACGTACGTGGAACGTAACTGTGTAGACAGCATCACTGATTATAATGAGTTCCATAGTATTTTGTTGCGCCGCACCACTCACGTCCGGTGTAGACACGGTGTAACATTGGTTTTACTTTGTTTCACAGAACTAATCGTTGCCTGGGTTGGGTATGTATGTGTGGGGCGGAGCTATCAAAATAGGGGCGAGACCCTTTTGGGGTAGGGGCGTGTTTGTTTTGGTGATTTCAAATGTCAACATTGGCTACCAGAAATCGCTTACCCCACCTTTAAAACGTAATAATCAATTTAATCTAGCTTGCTCTCACTGTTGTACACGGAAGCAGTACCGGGCTGATGACGTATAAGGTCGGCTTTGCGCATGTGCCGCTCAGAAGTGACGAACGCGGAAGTGCAGGGGTGAGATCAAAACAAACAACGGTCACTAATTAGAAGCACAAAACGAGGATTTGTAAAGAAGAATGTCAGAGGATTTCAATATAAGCCAAGAGGAGACTGGTTTTCCTTTGCTAAAGTAAGGAAACTTTGCTTCCTTTAATCCTGTAAACAAACGTTGTTTTTCACGAGACTCACCGGCGCATGCGCAATGCCGACCTTTATACGTCATCCTCCCGGAGCTGCTTCCGTGTACAACTGTTGGTGCAAGCTACATTAAAGTGATTTACATTTTGAATATGGATATTTTTCTTACAAAAATGCATCGATTCGCTACAGAAGGCCTTTGTTCCCCCCCAGGAGGCCTGTGAGAGACTTTTTTTTATGGATGGGTGCTTTTTATTTAACTTATTTTGGACTGAAGCACTGCAACACCTGCTAAGTGCGAGTAAACAGCTTGAAATATCAAATACAATTTTTAGTATAACTCCCAACTGGATTCGTCTGAAAGAAGAAAGTCATATACACCTAGGATGACTTTCATTTTTGGGTGAGCTAACCCTTTAAGTAGTCTTAAAAGCTCAAAGTTTGAAGTGTCTCAGATAGATTTCTGTGTGCTTGCTAGGGTGTGGCTGCTAGAACATTGGTAGGTAGTCAACGGTGAAAGTCAGTGGGATTCAAAATAACTTTGGACCCCATTGTATTTCATTGAATGGATTTTTTAAAAAACTTTTCCACTTTTGTGTACCAACATGAGAGTAAGGAAATGTTTTTTTTTTTTTAGGTTGACTATTCCTTTAATACTTTGTTGAACTATTTAATAGTTTAAACCAGTTATTTCAGAGTCAATTTTAATTTCAAGTTTCTCGTAAAGTCGTGAAAGATATATCAATCTTGGGTGGAACTGTCAACTGTCACGCATTCCTACTGTACATTCACCAGGTAAGAATATTTTCCCATATGTGAGGCTGCTGACTAATCCTTTGTTTTCATCTACAGGGTCGACATGTCAAAACAGGACAGCTGGCAGCAATCAAAGTCATGGATGTCACAGAGGTAAAAAAAAAAAAGACTATATTTAGAAATTTCATTATATTGCCCTATGTTACTGATTTTTGCCACTCTGAAAGTGGTTGGTATCAGAGTCTGGATGTACGAAACTGGGTCTAGATTAACATGAAGACAGGCTCTACTGAACTGAAAGATACAGGAATAGATCCACTGGGAACCATGCAGTCTGTAGCCAAAATTGCACAAGATTACCTCTGTCTAATCCTGGTCCTGGCACCCTTACTCTCCATATTTCATATGTCTCTCTGTAACACACCTGATTCAAATTATCAGCCTGTTAGAGGAGAGATCCATGAACTGAGCTGCGTTTCAATTGACGGGGCACCTATGCAGTGTTCAGTGCTCCCTATTCCCTAAGCATGTTTACTTCACTTGACAAAATGTTAATTTGGTACAGCCAGCAGTGTCGTCACTTCAGTAGTGCATTTTGGAATAGTGTTAAATTTGTCAGCCATTTTTAATGTAGTCTTAGTCTTTTAAATTAGTCTTAGTCTTGGTGTCATGTACTTTTTAGGTTTTATCATATTTAATCAAACTTTTCCTGATTGTGTTTAGTCAAGTTTTAGTCATTGAAAACTTTGTCACATTTTCTTCATGCTGTATAATAGTTAAACTGATAAAATAATAATACATTTTGCTCAAAATTATAATCGAAAAGACTGAGAAATTTTTGAGAAATTAATTTTTACATCGCAGGTATTGCACTTTCACCTATAAGCACAAATCAATAGAATGTGGACTCATACACATAGTTTATTTTATGTCATCTAGTGTTCTGATTTATTATATACTATTTAATTTATAAATTAATATCAAAGACTTAGTTATGCACTCTCTCTGTCTACATTATGAAAACTGGCAAAAATGGAAAAAAAATGTTAAAAGTAAAATTCCTAATAGTAATTCCAAATTGCAATAATGTTTCTGAGTAAGTGCATTTATTCAGCATCTATAACCGCAAACAAAATAGTCGAGATCTCATGACAGAACACAGGCTGGCTGAATGACACTTTCACAGGTGGTCACTGGTGGGGCATGTGACACAGCCTTCAATAAGGACATTTTTGAGGGGCTCTGTAGTGCACACCGTTTGACCTACAGTCATCAAAATTCATACACATAAAGGTCTCATCACAGGGCTGTACAGTGCATGTTCAGTGCAGACGGATTTTTTTTTTCTCATTTTGTCTCTATTAGTTGAGGTATACCTATGATGAAAATTACAGGCCTCTCTCATCTTTTTAAATGGGAGAACTTGCACAATTGGTGGCTGACTAAATACTTTTTTGCCCCACTGTATATGTCGCACGTGCTATGAAAAAACTGGTCTGTGCGATGAATACATTTACCACTGTAGCACACGTGCGATACAGTTTTGCATGTTCATAACACAGCCGCTTAATAGTGTGAAGTGATTTCGTTGTGCTTGTTTGTGTGTGTGAGATTGATTATACCTGATAGTTAGGGCTGTGCGATATGATGATTTTTGATCGTGGACGATTAAAATGTCTCCACGATCAGCTTTTGAAGAAATATCGTTGTATCATGCTACAGCGCACAATCTATCAGCTGCAGTTCTGGCGCCTCCCTCCGTCTCAATATAATGTACAACGCCATATGCATTCACATCAGTGTTAGCTCAGCGGTAGAGTTACTCTCACGGGACACTGCACTTATGCACAATCACAAAACTACATTATTTCCATCTGCTTTAAAGCAATTAAATCAACATTTAATTAATGTGCTGTTCTGCATGCACTTTTTCTGAGCGCGTACTCATGAAGCGCACTCACACTGAGAGCCTGTAAAAAAGTGCCTGATTATTGGACTAAGTTGTCTTTCGCGTCTGATTGATTTAGCGTCTAATACTGTCAAAAACACACAAGGTTTACATATAAACACAATTGGTAATGTCTAAAATGAAAGTAAACAGTTGAGAGAGAAACGCGTGCAGCTCTTAAAGGGACAATAACTACTAAACATGCTGCCGACTGTCATTAATGGGATAGTTCACCCCAAATTTTTTTTATTTCTGTCATTATTTACTCACTCACATTTTGTCCCAAACCTGTATTAATTTCTTTCTTGTGCTGAACACAAAATAAGATATTTTGAAGAATGTGAGTAACCAAGCAGTAGCTGGTGCACGCTGACTTTTACAGTAGGAAAAAAATACCATGGAAGTCACTGTGGACCAGCAACTGCTTGGTTACCCACATTCTTCAAAAATAACTTTTATGTTCAACAGACAAAATAATCTAATTCAGGTTTAAAACAACTTGAGTAAATGATGGTATAAAAATGAAACACTATGACAGAATTGAAAGACGGATGACAGAATTTTCACTTTTGGTGAACTATGGCCTAAATGTCTGCCATTCTTTTTATTTTATATTTTAAGGTGTAAGAGGGTGTTATGTTTCTGCACTCTTCCATTTTTAGCAAATTAAGAAAACTGTCTAAAAACAATTTTTGTAATGGTTTGTATTTTTTGTGCTCTGTATGGAACATCAGTGCCTATTTAAGTGATGGAACTCCATTACTTGTGTTTGTTTTCAGACATGATAACAGACGTTTTATACTTGTGCTACAACTTTTTGGCCTGTGAAAAAAGTTAACATATAGCCCTGCATCAGGCTGAACATCTTTCGTGGTGACGGTCACCCCTCTGCCCACCAGGAAGTCGGCTATTCAGGGTTTTGTGAAAAGTGCATACTGTGGAATTAGCAATACTCCTAGGATTTTCATCTGTTGGCCACCAAACTCTGTCAACATAATCAAGACATTGGGGATGCAAAATTGTCAAGGGATTTTTGATATCTCGGACAGTTTGGCCATGGCGATGCAATGAAATTATGGCAAGAAATGAGAAACAGGAAGTGTCTAATAACTTTTGCACACATTGTCTGATTTTGATAAAAATTCAGCAGTTTGTTCGTTGTGAGGCTGATCACATAGATATGAATATTAGGAGTCAACGTTATAGCGCCACCAACTGGCAGCAGGAAGTGTCATTTTCAAAATTGAAATCAGCCTCTTATTTTTACTCTATTTTCTTCAAACTTCATCAGAATAATGCCAAAACACGGCCAATGTAAAACTGAGAAGGGATTTTTGATATCTTAATTACTGTTGCCATGGCAACGTGTCAAACTTGAATATTTTTTCAGGTGTTTTTAAGGCACTTACCATGCTCAGAATTTCATGAAACTCGACACACATCATTATTAATGATAGTTAGACACTGGCAAAAGCTCATAAATGGGCGTGAAGGAGGTGCACTATAGCGCTACCTTTTGACTAAAGTGATGGGGTTAGTTTTTCCTACTGCACCAAACTCGGTACATGTATTGTTCTCATCAAGCCGGACGACTTTCTAATGTGCATTCATTAGATATGACCAACAGGAAGTCAGCTATTTTGGTTTGAGTGTGGATTTTTGAAAATATCAGGCTGTGAATTAAAGCTGCAATCAGCGTTGAAAGGGCCCTCGCACCTGGGCTCACCACCACCCATTGGCCTTAGGAAAACAGTGAACGTTGGGCAATATGCATTTAAAATGGTAAATATAGGAGGAATATGTCAAAGTCATTTATATGTGCCAAACTTCCTATAACTATAACTGAATATTGGCATGTAGATGTCTTCAGGCCAGGACTTCTCAAACATCTTAAGTTTGGTGCAGACTGAACATGGTATGTTTGAGTTATTGTAAAGTATGAGATATCCTGTTGCCAACAGGTGGCACTATGATTATAACTGAATATTGGTCTTTAGATGTTTTCAGGGCAAGGACCCTTATCAAACAAGAAATTCGGGGCAGACTGGACATTGCATATTTTAGTTAGTGTAACGCATGACATTTCCTGTTGCCAACAGGTGGCGCTATAAATTATAACTAAATATTGGCATGTAGATGTTTTCAGGCCAGGACTCTTACCAAACATGTGAAGTTTGGGGCAGAACGGACATTGCATGTTGAGGTTAGTGTAAAACAAGTAATTTCCTTTTGCCAACAGGTGGTGATCTGATTATAACTGAATAATGGCCTGTAGATATTTTCAGGCCAGGACTCTTATCAAAGGTGTGAAGGTTTGGAGCAGATCGAACATTGTGTGGCTGAGTTACAACAATTTCCTGTTTTATGGCATTAGTGGCATGCTTTAGCACTTAGTAAGTGTTGCTAGCATGTTTCTAGCGTGTTTAGCACACAATGGCATATTTTACAGTGTTGTTAATAGTGCATCACAGTGTTAAACATGTCACTTCCTGTTGCCAGTAGTTGATGCTATGACTACAACTGAATATGAGCATGTAGATGTCTTCATGCCAGGACTCTGAGTCTGATCAAACGTGAAGTTTGGAGCCGATTGGACATTATATGCATGAGTTACAGCAACTTCCTGTTTCATGGCATTAATAACATGCTTTAGCACTTAGTAAGTGTTGCTAGCACGTTTGAGCATGTTTTTAGCATGTTTAGCACTCAATGGCTTATTTTAGTTTGTTGCTAATAGTGCATCACAGTGTTAAACATGTCACTTCCTATTGACAGCAGGTGGCGCTATGACTATAACTGAATATTGGCATGTATTTGTCTTCAGGCCAGGACTCTGATCAAACATGTGAAGTTTGGGGCAGATTGGACTAGTGTTGTCATGGTACCAATACCAGTGAAAATCCACGGTTCTCTGTACCAATTTCGGTACCAAAGCAAAACACAAAAACATGCTAATTAAAAAATTGGACTACTTTAATTTAATCCAAACTGTGTACATAAAAACCTAGAGCTATTTAGCCAAGAATAACTACTAAAGCCGGGCTCACACTACAGGAGTTTTAAAATCCTAACCGATTATGAAATCTGGTTGCAGCACACACATAAGTAGAATCTTTGCAGATTATCTTCTCTCAAATCTTAAACATGCACACACTACAAGATTTGAACATCATGGCGCATCACACACTACAAGATATTATTAAGA